CACTTGCAGGGAGTTGAGTCGGTGATTAACATACCGAAGAAGGCTGAAAGTGTCCCGTCTAAACTGCATGAGCGAAGATTTTCGATTATGGTCAATAATATAAATCTCCATAAAGACGGCAGGTTTTCTTTCTATATATATATACATATATATTCCTTCTATATGTGTATATATATATATATATATATATATATATATATATATATATATATATATATATATATGTATATATATATATATATCTATCTATATATATATATATATATATATATTATATATATCTATATATATATATATTATATATATATATATATATTATATATATATTTATATATATATATATATATATATATATATATATACATATTTTACTCATTCTTCGAATGGGTCCAGAATTGGCCCATTCGAAGAATGAGTAAAATATCAAAAACTTTTCGCATTTTTCTCGCTTCCATAACTTATTTTAGTTATTAAAATATATCCAGTGTATAGTAAAATTATCGTAAATTTCATTTCTATTGTTATTTTAGCTTAATTTTAGTGATAAATCGACGTATACTTTCTACCGTAATATTATGAAATAGCTCGTGCAAATTTTTCGGAAACAAAGACAGTCGTGAAAGGTGAACAGAAATCACTTGTTTGCCTGCTGCATTACGTTCAGTTTTAGTGAGTGTTAAACTTTTCCATAGCTAAACCTTCAAAACATCAAAAATACAGAACAAATAATCATAATAATACCACTAAACGTCGAATGTTGTTTTTCGATTATTTATTTTATTCAATGATTTTAGCGACTATATAAGCTGCAAAGTGATATTTGTTTTATCAAAACTCTGAAGTACACTTTTGAGAACTCTTTTTAAAGTTTAAGCGATGATGTAAAGCCTTAAACGGTCGGTTAGCTGCTTTTAAAACGACATACCAAGCTCGTACTTGTCAAAATAACAATGCATTCTTACAGCAAACACTGAATAAGCAAAATATAGACACCTACTACTTCAAAGATCATAAACGACGAGTCCTTCCTATATCACCAACTGCTTCAGTGCTGTGATGATCCTGAAATCTTTTATTATTTTTTGATATTTGACTCCACTATTTCAGTTTATGTTTTTAAAAAATAATAGGAAAAATGACGGTTAAAATGCTGACGTTCTCATGCATGCTCTCTTTTTGTCTTAGCCAATCAGCAAGTTGTAGTCGACCGTTCTTTCTTCGTTCAAATTTCGCGCATGAGCACAACTACCATGACTATTCAACGTTTATGACATTTGGGCAACTTTGGATTCGCCTATGTTCTGTCTGAATACCCGGGTGTAATTCCTAATCTCCGGGAGGGATTAGTACCCTCGCACTGCACTTCGCGCCGGCTCGGGGATTAATTGTAGAACTAGTAGACTTCGTAATTCGTTTATCACGTATATCGTAGTCGATGCATAATAACTCTCTATCATGATAATTTTTAATATATATTGTTTTAATGTGTACTTATTTTCTAATAAGTCCTGTAAAACTCAGCTTGTTACCTGCATGCCTCTCAGAGTTTTTAAAGTGCCTATATCACTCGTGGAATCTAAGCACTTTAATGAAACTCTAAACTCTATAATAAAAGTACAATTAAAGAGCTTATATCACTCGTAAGATCTTTATGCATTTGAAAAGAACGTAAAAAGTTAATTAATATAATTATTAAAAAACATTTTTTGATTTAGTGCAATAATTTCGAAAATACAAGCCTCTAAACTATCTGCGGTTCCTGAGTCCCAACCTCCTGGGTTTAAACACGGCTATTCAATTTGAAACTGCCCATTGTTTACAGGAGCCTGGGACTCAGGAATTGCAGGTAGTTAGAAAGGCTAGTATCTTCAAAAATATTGCACTAAATCAAAAACCTTTTTTAATATATTAACTAACTTTTTACATACTTTTCAAATGCATAAAGATTCCACGAGTGATATAGGCACTTTAACACCTAAAATTGCCGTTACCCTGGATGTTGCCCACTGTTTGACGACCTCTGGATCATAATCAATAGGAAATCCGTTTTACAACGCTTTGATGATTGACTTAATTACCTTGAGTGTTTCTACCTTCCGCCAACTGACTGTGTTCAAATGTTTATAATTTATACGCTTTGTATGGCTAAACTGCCTTATGAGCCTGAAAATATTTTTAATGTGCAACTGCAGAAAATATCCGGACCGTACGGAAAAATTCATACTAGGAATACGATAGACAATGTAATTTTATTTAACAAAATGTCTTGGTATAATTATTATATACACATCAATTCATCAACAATCCGAATGGAAATGTTCGTATGAATGTGAGCGATTTTATAAGTTCGTTAAGAGAACACGGCCAAAATTTTGGGCAATATATCTTTAAATTTGGCGGACTGCAGAAATACCCAAGATAAAAGATTGGGTTATAAAAACGTTTCTATAAACAGCTGTTCTATGATCTATCCATCTAGAGGTCGGCAAACAGTGCTACAAGTCTGTGGCTCTAACGTCACGACGTTTTATATTTTCACTCAATGTGTTTTATAGTAAAACTCAAAGGCCATAATGTATGGATTAAATGCAAATTAACGCGCAAGCTAACCATATATAGCGCACTATATAAAAACACAGCCATGAGTTATGATGTTATCCTCAGCTTCCTACCATGCAGGCACTTTAGTGGTAAAACATACACCGCTGCGTTCGGCATTTTGGATAAAGGACAGCTAACAAAAAGCGAGCGCGTGGTGCTTGGGGTGGTTTTGCTTCAGTGTGCATGTGGGGGGGGGGGTGCTTAGCGGGTTGGTGCCTATAGCAGAAAATTACCTTTTTCTCGCACTCTTAAACGATCTCTGAAAAATTTTTGTATTTTTGCATTTTTTTGTCATTAATATTTTTGCTGGAATCGACGGTCGTCGGGCTAGTTGGTAATATCATATGGACGTTTCTTTGGCTAAGTAACATCTGAAGGTAATTAGCAACATTAATTACAAGGTTTCTATTCATGACATATAAGATAAACTCATATCGAATTCAACGCTTTTTTTCAACTTAAGCTTGAAAGTGAAATGATTCTAAAATATTTAAAAAGCGGAGTATCTTTAAAAGCCTGAGTTTAATTATTCTACAACTCATTTAGCAAATAACATGTTGAAATCATTTTCTTTCAAAACCTTCCTTTGTCGAAACAATCCCAAAAACCCTCTCGCGTTTGCTTTTTCTTAACTGACCTCTATTATCATGATACTTGAATGTAACGTTGTATGTTTTTCTACTAAAGCGCCTAGGTATACGAGGGTGTGTTATCTTAATGTATGTTGTTCAGTTGTTTCCCGAACTATAGGGTCGCGTATCTTTGGCAGTTATTCTGCTCACTCTCATCGTGTGATTATTCGCTATACCCGATGAGGCGCGCGGGGCCAAGTTAGGCATTCGACGAGATTGAGCAGAATAAATGTTTTATTATATATCTACACACGCATGCACCGAATAAAACAGCTGTCGTAATTCGTAATTTGAATATTAACTAGAAATACATGCATGCAGCAAACCCTCGCCATTTTAAACGAAGCAAAATATTTCGTGCGCTACCCAGACCTAACTTTCTACGCTAATATTATGAAATAACTCGTGCAAATTTTTCGGAAACAAAGACAGTCGTAAAGGTGAACAGAAATCACCTGTTTGCCTGCTGCATTACGTCTGTGATTACGTTGCAGTTTAAGTGAGTGTTAGACTTTTCTATAGCTAAACCTTCAAAACATCAAAACAGCACAAACAATTATAATAACCATACAAGCACTAAACGTCAAATGTTGTTTTTTGATTATTTATTCTATTCAATGATTTTAGCGACTATATAAGCTGCAAAGTGATATTTGTTTTATCAAAACACTGAAGTACACTTTTGAGAACTCTTTTTAAAGTTTAAGCGATGATGTAAGGCCTTAAACGGTCGGTTAGCTCCTTGTAAAACGACATACCAAGCTCGTACTTGTCAAAAAAACAATGCATTCTTACAGCAAACACTGAATAAGCAAAATATAGACACCTACCACTTCAAAGATTATAAACTACGAGTCGTTCCTATTTCACCAACTGTTTCTGTGCTGTGATGATCTTTAAATCTTTTATTATTGTTTTAATACTTGACTCCATGATTTCATTTTATATTTTTAAAAAATAGTTTGCAAAATGACGGTTAAAATGCTGACGCTATCATGTATGCTCTCTTTTTGTCTTAGCCAATCAGCAAGTCGTAGACGACCGTTCTTTCTTCGTTCAAATTTCGCGCACAACTACCATGACCATTGAATGTCCAATCCATTTGGGCAACTTTGGATTCCGCTATGTTCTCCTGGGTCCCGGGTGTAATTCCTAATCTCCGGGCGGAATTAGTACCCTCGCACGGCGCTCTGCGCCGGCTCGGGGATTACTGAATACACTTTTTCAAAAATGCTGTTAAACATTTTAAAACAGAAAAAAAACTTTTTTTGACCTATACTTTTGCGCACTTTCATTCCAAAGTTTGTCGCCCTTTCGGCGCAGCTTGGTGTACATTTTACAAAACTTGTGCAGGGGCCGGTTGTATCAAAGGCGTTTAAGCTAAACGGCGTTTAGCTCCTATCCACCGTATAAATTTATTATCAGGCGGATAGTTAAACGCTCGATAAAATTGCGTTGTATGAAGGCCGTTTAGTACAGCGTTTAACTAACCTGCGGATAACTTTAAATTTATCCGGAGAAAACTGGAGAAAACCGGTTATTCTCGGTGGTTGCTAGGCGTTGCTATGCGTCCGAAGCGCGGGAAATTTTGAAAGCAAACAATGGAGGCTAAGCGAGCGAGAAAACCAAACTTTTCCGCCGCGGAATGTGCTTTAATTCTTCAGCTCGCTGAGGAAAATATCAATATCATCCGCGATAAATTTTCAACAACTGTTTCAAACAAGAAAAAAAGCGAAACTTGGCAAAGAATATGCAATCGGGTGAATGCGCTTGGGGTGGCGAAGAGAACTCCGAGTGAGTTAAGAGAGAAGTGGCGGGGGATGAAAGGCGAAGCGAGAAAAGACCTTGGAAAAGAAAAAAATTCTCACAAAAAAACTGGAGGTGGAAGACCCCATCAGCCGTTGAAGCCAACAGTCCAGCGAATACTTGAGTTGTTTGGGGATGAACCTAGCTTTTGTGGGATACAAGGGGGGATTGAATCAGGTGAGTGGTGTCATGCGCATAATATTACATAAATCAGTGAAATATATGAAGAGAAAGGCGAGCGTCATTGTAAACGTTGTTTATGTCATTTAAAACGCATATTTTGAATATATCGGCTATAAGTATGGTAGTTTGGAATGTTTAAATCTCTAAATGGCTTACAAAAGACGTACGTCGCATAGTATCTTCTTTCGACAGTGGAAATCCCTACTTTATACGTCGGTCGTGAGGGTCTGAAAGATTTCACTTGATATGTTCATATGTTTAATATAAAACACACATATTTTTCAAAGATAAGTACATTTGTATAGTTTTAGCTATAATTTTTACATTCAGTAGTCAGTGGCCGGTACTGCATTTACATATTGACACAGGTATTAGCAGTTCTCAAATATGGTGTTCAATTTCTAGACTTAGTTTTTGTAGTCAAATATTGTTTGATTTTTGTAGGAACAAATACAAATTGGGATGCCCTAGATGATCATACCATGGAGCTCCCTTTTGCTGAGGCATGTTCAAGTCTCCCTATTCCTCCACCTGCTGTTGGTGATGTGCCACCATCATTTCTTGAAAAGATTCCACTACCAGTGGTAACAGTCCCTCACCCAGCAACTGTTACAACACCTCCTGCAGATGGTGCAGCAACTATTACTATTACAACACTGCATGAAGCAGCAAACCCAACCCTACAAGCATCTGGCTCAGGAACACTTCCTGCAGAAGACCCAGATATACAGGTAATTGTGGATCAGCCACCCACCAAAAAGCAAAGAAAAGTGACCACACAGGACATCCAATTAGCACAAATGGATGTCCTTATATTGGAGAAGAAGAAAATTGAACTAGAAGTTCAAAATTTAATGCTAGTTCAGGAAAAATTAAGGCTGGAAGTTGAGATGTTGAGAGTTAACACATCATTTGAAAATTGAACAACAATGGTTATTGTTTATTTATTTGTAACATAACATTCATTTGCAAATATCAAGCAGGCTAAATATAAGTGAGTTTTCACCAGCATTAATATAAGAGGCTTTTTACAAATATAATAATATAGTATAATACTGAATAAAACTCACTTATTTTTAGAGGAATAAATTTTAATTAACACAATTGAATTGAATGCATGTATATACAATTTAAAAAATTAAGAAATCTTCAAATGTTCTATATAAACAGTTTTATTGAAATGTGAAATTATTTTATTAAAAGTATGTTTGCTGCAATATAATTTCGAATTGCTGCTCCAGAATCAATACCATTATAATTGTTGTCCTCTCTCAGGAGTTCTTCCTCTTCCTGATCAATTGGCTCATTGTGATCAATGGCAATATTATGCAAAACGCAACATGCGACAACGATGGTGCACACCCTCTCTGGACACAATCTTACTTCACCATGCAAAACATGAAAGCGTCGTTTCAGGACCCCAAAAGTCCTCTCAATAATACACCTTGTGACCCTGTGTGCTCGATTAAATCGTCGCTGGGGCTGTGTCTGTGGTTCTGGGTATGGGGTCATTAAATAAGGCATACAGGCATAGCCACTATCACCTAAGAGAACACCATTTTCAAAATTGGTCCCTTCTAAATTGCGGCCAATAGATGATGTTCTAAAAATGTGGCTATCATGAGTTGACCCAGGCCATTTGGCGACAATATTGGTAAATTTCCCTACAAGATAAAGTGAAAATAAATTTCATTTCTAATTTGAAGAGGGGGGGGGGCTTCATGGCATAATGTGAGTGCGTGTGTGATTTTCAACCTCTGATTTTCTACCAAGCTATGATGAAAAGTTGTTACAATTATTAATAATAAATGGACAAGTCAGAGAACAATATTGACTAATTTGACTTCCGGTAAAAAAAATCCATTCACAATCATCCCTATTTACCCTACGAGACTATAATGCGCCATATTTAAATAACTGTGGTATAAACAAAATATTTCCTGTACCTTTATGGTCGCAGATTCCTTGTACGTTTATACTGTGGACCCTCTTTCGATTTACGAAATCTGGCTCGTTTTCTGAAGGCGCCTGGATTTTAATGTGTGTGCCGTCAACACAGCCGATTACACACGGAAAGTTTGCAATCTCGTAAAAACCTTGCTTCACGATGTCACGATCTTCTTGTGATTGAGGGAATTTAATGAATTGGTTAATCTTACGACATAGAGCAACAGTAACACGACGTATTATTCGACAAACAGTGGCCTTATCCAAGCTTGCAAGAGTATCTCCGGTCACTTGTTGGAAGCTGCCAGATGCAAGAAACCGAAGTGTTATTAAAACTTGGTGGGTGGCCGAAACAGCGTGAGTACGATTAGTTGCAGGACTGATTTCGTCTCGTACAAGATTGGTTATGTAGACGATGGTTTGCCTACCGAAACGGTATCGTTTTCGCAGCTCATTATCATCATAATATTGTAAAATGTTGTCAATTTCACGTCTAAAAACTCTGTCCGCTCTTCTATTTACTCGTGGAAGTGCATAAAAATGGATTCCAGGTAATCTGTACAATGCCATTTTAGATGTTTTTTTTTTAATTGACAACGAATTTAAACTTTATCCTCCGGATAGTGACTTAAACGGTCTCAAGGGACCGTTTAAATTTACACGCTGGATAGGCAAATTTTAACCGGTGGATAGTGCTAAACGGATTTGATACAACGCTATTTCTCAAGCGTATAAATTTTATACGGTGGATAGCGAGTTATACGGTGGATAGCGACTTAAACGCCTTTGATACAACCGGCCCCTGATATCTAATCATTTTTCTGAAGATAACGTACATAAAAACAGATTTTGACAAATGGACGGACCCTAAATCTTTCAACCATTTTGTTTACGTTTCTCTTGTATAAACATTATGAGCTAATATTCGTCTACGGTAGCACGTCCTTCTGCACACTTTTGTCCTTGTGAATGTGTTTTTGCAAGTTGAAAAATGTCAGTATATATTGGAATTAGTGCTGCTTTCCACTTACGCGTTTTTCATGCGCATATAATTTCATATTTGGAAAATAGGTGAATAAATCAAAAGAAACAAGCAAGCAACGAACCTACAAATAAGCCAATCAATCAATCAAATAATCAACCAATAAACAAACAAAAAAACAACTAATCGACCTATCTATAAAAAAAAGCAACCAACCAGCCAACCAACCTACCAACCAACCTAACAAACAAACAAACAAAAAAACAACAAAAGCTCTCTAAATCATTTGACCCGTGCACTTGAAAGATTCGTGGACATCTTTACCGTGACCTTGCTGTTTCCTAATTTTTCACGCTTCTCGGAATATCGGGTTGTCAAAAACAAAGATTTGATGCATTTTCCCTTAAAAATTGTAAATTTTATTTGTTGAAACATTTCATTTTTGCACTTTGGTCACTTTTTAATACAATGTGATCATACATAAAACGTGCAAAATATTTAGGTTAATATATTGATATAGTAAGTACCATTTCAGGGAACGCAAGCATGCATGCGTGAATGAGCGCTTAATTCTGCTCATTGTGATTCTAGTTGGAAACTGGCTGAAAGAAGAAATCCACCGAATTCGGTATATCGACCGCTTCCATAAATGGAATAGGTACTACCGTTACGCAACTCAACCCAGAATGTGTCGCCTTTTGCCAAAACTACAAAAATTGTTTTTGTCAGTTGATCGTAGGTTTTGTGGTTTGCATGAATTTCACTGATTATATTATTATTCTTCATCAGCCTAACGCCAGAGTTGTATCCATCACGTTGAAGGTACGTTGCAGTAAACTGGTAAAGACCTGCAGTGGGAGCAGTAAATTTTCCGGTGCTTGGATTGTAGCCGTTTCCAATGTTTAAAGCCACGTCGTTGAATTTAATGGCGCCATCGGCGTAGTTAGGTCCGATATTACCACTTGTAAGAGTAGCTTGGAAAACGATCAAAGTCTAAAATTAATGTTAGGCTTTTATTGGGAGGATTGGCAAACCATGCTCAGTAATCCGACATCAAATTTCAAATTTCTTTAGCTTTTCTGACGCTATATAATACCCCCAAAAAAATAATCTTTTTCTGCTTCTTAAAGTTTTTTTCTCAGTTAATGAAATAATCAAGAGAGTAAAAATCACTATACCTGTCCTTGAATACCAACGCCTTTTCCATTAACAATGAAATCACGCATACCCTCTTCAAAATTTAGCGTCATACCCCCCTTCTATGAAAAAAAAGCGAATCACTTTATAAGTAAGAACTATGTTAAAGGCATGGAACAACTCTTTCAATGTTTTTCTTTAGAGAGAAAAGTTCTAAATCTTGTACCGGTGGACCATATTTCATGAAACCCAAATCGAAACATGGAAGCGATATAATGCAACAACTTACCAAGGGGACGGTTAAAGCCCCCCTTTCTCTTGCAACGGTAGAGACGCCAAATTGACCAGTGGTAACAAGCACGAGGCCAAGCAAAACGTAATAAATAGACGACAGGCAAGGCATTTTTTTATGATCTGTGTTCTTTAAAGCTTCCGCAAAATGTACTTGACTTTTTTTTCAATCAGCGAATTTATGTAAAACCGAACTGATATGATCCGCCATGGAAACAGTGACATATATTTATCTATTTTAAGCATCACATGTGACAATAATTATAAAAAATATCCATACTTTCAAAGCGCTTACTAATGAAATAGGCGAAATGTTTTCATGTGTTTTAGAGGGAGTGGCAGGAAAACTGCAGGATCCTATAGATAATGATTGACGAACATCAGTTATCCTAGACTAATTCATAACACATACCAGGGACCGGTTGTATCACGGTGGATAAGTTCAAAATAGAAAGCAAGTCTGCCGTTTTATTCAACAAGCGAACTAAATGTTTTTTACCCTAACACAAAGATACTGTTTACAACTACATATTCAGCGCATAATGATTCAAGTTGACTCATTCAAGAGAGTTGTAACAGTGTTATTTAATTTCCACTCATCCACCGTTTAAGCTAAACGGGCTTGATACAACCGGCCCCAGCACTTTAATTATGTCTGTGATACGTTTTGTATTTTTCCAACTATACAAGAATTTGTCAGCTCGGCCAGACAGCATGCTTATGACAATATAATTATGTACTTATGCACGCTTGCGTGTGGCGGAGTTTTGAACATCATCAAAATTTATCCACTTACCATCAAAGCAATACGTTTAGTATATTATCTTATCGCACGAGATTTTCCGTTCAAAACGTAATTGGTTGTATAAAGAATCGAATATTAATTAATCTTGTTTATGCAGCCTTGGAATTCAAACACATGCCAGCACCGCAATGTGGTCTGTGGCAGTTTTCTACTTTTTTTCAAAGTCAACTCTCCACCTGCATCCCTAGAACAATAATTATGTTCTCATATGCATGCACGCTGGTGAGTTGTGACGAACAAAATCCTTCAAAGGAAGTTCTATAATGTCCCCAATGCCCTCTTAAATGTATATTTTATCACACTAGTCATTTTGTTCAAAATATACAGGGTGAGTAAAAAAAACCTGACACCATTGAAATTCAAATTAGTGTAATCGGCAGTAATGAGACAGAAGTTGCCTAAAATATCTCATGGGTATACGAAGCATATCAAATAAGTGAACCATTGATTAAGTAGAACATAAAGTTTGTTCCCTTTGGGAGTTAAAAGGCATTCTATAAGCTCTGTAATAAAAAGGAAAGTGCATGGAATTAGTTTAATTGGTTTAAACACTTTCGCATTAATTAACCACGTTTTGTTGATTGTACACAATGGAAATTGTCAAATTCCAGCCATAAGTTCGCGGCTAATTTTAATTTCAAACGGGCATGGTAGAAAACACGGATACCGGATAGGCGGATACCGGATAGTCGGATACCGGATAAACAGATAAACGGATAGTCGGATACCGGATAAACGGATAGACGGATAAACGGATAGACGGATAGACGGATAAACGGATAGACGGATAAACGGGTAGACGGATAGACGGATAGACGGATAAACGGATAATATATTCATATGATCAGAATTTTCTTAATTGACAATGATTAAAAAAATGTAAAATGGCTCATCAATGTTTCGTATTCAATTATAAAAAGACAAGTATCGGAATGTGGTTCTCACAAATTGAAATATTAGTCAAGTTAACTTTAGTCATACTCATGCCACGTGAGTATTCATACCAAGGACAACCGAGGAGTAAAGTAGGTAATGTGTACTTTCACTGCAATTTGTCGTGCGTCAGGCGCAAAGAACGAAACTTTCATTTGTACCAGTTATGTCCAATCGCTCCAGCAATTCAAGCAAACCTCCAGTTTTATGGACATCATTTGAGGAATAATTTTGGAATTTGAGAATGCAACGGACATAAATTAGTATAGGGGCTTTATGTATTTTATTTGCTTTTAAAATGAACGTTTTGTTAGGGTATAGCGAGGACTTAGATAGCTATACTACATTGCGATATCCTTGTCTTAAAAAAATTTTGTGGCATGAGGCAACCTTGATCATATGAATAGATAAACTGGTCATTATTCTCGTACATTATTTTGTTATCCGTCTATCCGTTTATCCATCTTTACGCGTGGATTGTAGATGTATGTTTGTTTAATTCAAACTTGTTCATATGTTTCATGTATTAAGCTGGGGGCATGAGTATGACTAAAGTTAACTTGACTAATATTTCAATTTGTGAGAACCACATTCCGATACTTGTCTTTTTATAATTGAATACGAAACATTGATGAGCCATTTTACATTTTTTTAATCATTGTCAATTTAGAAAATATGATCATATGAATATATTATCCGTTTATCCGTCTATCCGTTTATCCGTCTATCCGTTTATCCGTTTATCCGTCTATCCGTTTATCCGGTATCCGACTATCCGTTTATCTGTTTATCCGGTATCTGACTATCCGGTATCCGCCTATCCGGTATCCGTGTTTTCTACCATGCCGAAAATTCCTGAAGCATGTGCATTGAAATAGGTGATTAACTTCATTTTTTTTATCTTTTTTTACGCTCTATGGCACAAATGTCTTCCTGATTTTCAAAGGGAATGGCAGGAAAACTGATCCCGTGGGAAATGACACTCATTGAACCGAGACATAGATTCTAAGCTTATTAGGATACTAATTCATAACACATTCCAACACCGCAATGTGCGGAAATCTGATTTGAATTTTTTTTCAACTACAAGATTTACAAAAGTCAGCTCCGCCAGCCTTCGTGGAAACGAAATGCGGCAGCTTACCAAGGGGACGTTTAAAGTCCTCCTTTCTCATACAACGGTAGAGAGTGACAGTGTGACACGAAATTCACCAGTAGTAACAAGCGCAAGACCTATAGAAATACGAAATTAACAGAAGACGTGCCAACATAATTAATTTGGCGACCATTGCCTTTAAATAATAGATAACGGTTACAATCGGCGATGAGAACAGAAATATATTCATCTATTTTAGGCATCACATGCGGCAATAATAATAAAAAATGGCAATAGTAATAAAAAAATCCATACCTTCAAAGCGT